GGATCCAGCTGGACAGTGCTTGTTTTCCATCTCTGTGTCTAACCCAAGCAAGGGACACACAGACATTTCAGATACCCCTCAGACAGTGTTTCTAGTCAGAAGCAACAGGCTTTGAAATTCAGATATAGTCCACGTAGGAATTGATTTTACAGCTCAGAGCACCAAAGACTCCCAGAGGACCAAAGGGAATGTGAATCCATCTTCAGCACTTAGCATGCCAGCTGTCTAACCGATCAGGAAACTTCCCACTATGAGACAAAGGTGATGTCCTGTGGCCACTTCCCTTGTGACAGGAAGCCATGGAGAATTTGGCGGTGACATGTGCAAGCCTCTGGCTTAGTGCTGGGCACAAAGGACACCTGGCGAGCAGAGAGTCCACACAGCCTACCTCACTGAGCTTGTGGTTCAGAGCTGAGGGGAGTCACAGGGCACTGCCACCAGCTGATACTGGCACCCACTTTGGTCACAGAGGTAGAAAAAGGCTTCTAGGGACGGGGATGGATTCAGTTTTGGTTGAGTGCTTCCCTGTCTAGCCAATCAATGAGCTCCAGTTTTGGTGAGAGACTTTGTGCCAAAAATAAAGTGGAAAGGGAGAGAGGAAGATGCTCAACTTCCACCTCTGGCCAGCTGCACACAAGAATGACATGGGTGCGAGCACACACATACACCTAGAAAAAAAATTAATGGTAAATAAGGAGTCAGCCAGATGACTTAGCATACTGAGGTGCCCATTGCCATACTTGCCAACCCGTGTACAATCACCAGGACCTGAATGGTAGAAGGAGAGAATCTGTACCCATCAAATCTGTGCCCTTTGAGCTCTTCACTTGCACCATAATGTACTACTCTCCCTAGCCTGTGTGTAAGTAAATGTAAAAAAAAATTAATAGACAGAAAAACCAGGGCTTGGCGGGATGACTCCGAGGTAAAGGCACATGCCACAAAGCCTGACCTGAGTTTGGTCCCTGGGACCGGCATGGAGGAAGTGCAGACTCCCCCAGGTTGTTGTCTGATCTCCAAAGTCATGTGCACACACACACATGTAAATAAATAATTTTGAACGTTAATGAACATTTTAAAGAAAAAAAATTTGGGGAGGGAGAGGGAAGGGCAGCAGCTAAGCCATCTCTAGCAGCCACCCCATGCAATTTGTGGAGGGGGGCGCAGGGGCAGTGTTGTCTTTCCTCACCCAGCCCTCACTTCCCTCTTGCTGTCTATCCTTGGCAGCCACAGTTGGTAACACATCGAGGTCTGCCCCTACCTTCCCCTGGCATTCTCCATATGACCAGCTTCTCTCTAACAGGCCAACAGCCAGTGGCTTCAAGTCCACCTTCACCCAGTGTTAACTGCCCTGAACTGAGTCAATCTGCAGAGACTGTTTCCAGTCAGTGCTGTGGCCACAGGAATCAAGAGTTGGGATTTCAATACAACATGTTAGGGGGTCCAGTTCAAATCAGCAGCCCTTCTGGCCCCAGGTCTCTCTGAGACTCTCCTGTAGAATCCAAGAGCATGGGGCTAGCAAGAGGGCTTAGCATGTAAAAGTGCCAGTGCCAGACAAAGTGTGTCCAGTCACTAGAACTCATGAGGAAGGAGAGTACTTTTCTCACACACACATACACCTGAGCTGACTGTGCACTCTGTTCCCTCACATAGTAGAGGGCAGTGGAGATGAGCACCCGATTGTGGACCAGGGCAGGGGGACAGCTGTAGGCAGTGAAGGGCCTTTTATGACACTGGGAGAAATTTTAAACTGGGAGATAGTTCTGCCAGGTTGACCTACTGTGTGAATCTGAGTCATTAACTTCTCCAGCCCTCTCACTTTCATAGAGGGGGTGGGGAGGACCAAAAGTGTTAGTAGGCATCAGGTAAGAGTCTCTATACACATGGTGTTCTAATCTGTAACTGTTTGTTAAGCAAATTACATCTCTGCTCTGAGCCTTAGTATCTTCTTCTGTAAACAGGACTGCTAGATGCTAGTATCTGAGGTAATGCATGTGAAGCAGGCAGACCTGTGTGTGAGCCCGGCTCAGCAGGTGTCCCCTGCCATTGTCACCATGGTGACCATCGTCCTCATTTGCAGTTCCTTTTAGCTCCAAATCCTGAGACCTTCTCAGATGTCCCCGTGCAAGGAGACTGGCAAAATAAGGCAGCCCTGCTTTGAGTAAATACACCTTCTCACACAGACAGGAGGCAGTAATTACCCCTAAATAATCGCTCCAACTTTACCACGGGCTGTCGAAAGGCCCTAATTGGCCCATCAGTAACAAGTGCAGCCATCTGCATTAGGGTGATTTAGCGATGGGACTCTGTGCACGTGAGGATCTCAATGATTACACGGGCAGAGGTGATATTTCTCCATCCGTGAGAGCACTGGCGTGTGGCACAGAAGATAATCTCACTCCCGAGTTAACGACCCACTGGTTGAATGCAGCCCGGAAGCAGCAGTGGGCAGAGACTTGCCGTGGATTTCCTCTTTCCTCAGAGAGACTGTTCTAGAGGAACAACCTCCCACCCAAGCCTGGCCACGCCTCTTGCTGTGGGGTCTCACTGCCTGAGAGCAAAAGAAAGCAAGGCTTGTTCTTTGTGTGATCATAACCCCTCCCCAGTATATTTTTCAGGTGCTCTCCCTTCATAATACAAGGCAACACACCTGATGTTCTCATCATCCTGAAGAGGTTTCTGGAATCTTAAGTCCATGTGTTCCACAGCCCCCTTTAGAGCTGTTGTAAGTGGTACCTGGGGTGACCTTCATTGTTCCACAGGATCTCAACAGGTTCCCCCCACATCAAAGGGAAGGCCTCAGCTAGCTTCCCAGATCACCTGTTCTGACAGACCTGACCTCTAGTTCACAGCTGGAAAGGCAAAACTAAAACAAACAAACAAATAAATTAAGGCTTGACTGTATTTCTATTTGTTATTGGTTTTTTGTTTATTTGTTGTTATTATAAATGGTGCCATTTGTACATTTATGGGGCTTATATAAAGTCATCTTTAAAAAACTAGTATGGGGGATGTGGAGTTAGCTCAGTGATTAACAGTGCTTACTGTGCAAGATTGAGGACCTGAGTTTGAATCCCCAGCACTCTTGTAAAAAGCCAATCATGGCTGTGTATGTCTGTAACCCTAGCTTTGGGGTACGGAGGCAGGTGGATCCTTACGTCCATATTTGTAACTTTAATTTTTCAAAACTTACTTTTAATGACAATTCTTAAATGCTTTAACCTCCCTTCTAGCCTACCACCACCAGAGGTAGTGGGAAAGAAAGGATATGGAGGAAGTGGACCTGTTTAGAAATTGTTCTTTGGAGCAAATCCCATCTGCATTGTCAGGAAATCAGAGTTCAGTTCACAGGTCAGCAGCGGCAGCTCGATCCACTCACAAACACTTCACGGATACACCAGCAGTCCAGTTCAGTAGAGTCAGGACAACAAACACGAATCAGCAGCAGTGGCATGACCTAACAGGAGCAGCCAGGCCTCTGCCAAATTGACACCAGTCAGCAGGAGCGATTATGCAATGACTCGAGACCAACAAGCCTTACACAGCTAGCTCCATAAGCAACCTTAGCTCAGCCTTTGTCACTGTCCACTGGGTCCTATTTATACTCCCTCCAAACATCACGTGTCCTCCACGGCTCTTGCCTCACCATGGGTCTGTCTCAGCTGACATCACTCTGTCAAACAGCCCAAGTCTGAGGAAGCAGCAAGAAGCCAGCCACCAGCACACTACCCGAAGTTTTGGGGTACAGTTTTTTCTATGGAGTCCCAACAAATGGAGCTTAACTATGCAGTGTAAGGTTGAGCAACGCATGTGTATCATTAGTGAAGAATCCTTCCTCATGTGTCCTTTCACATGTTTGCTTTAGCAGAACATCCTTTCACCTGTGTCTGCTCCAACGAAACGTTCCTTCACGTGTTTGCCCCAGCAAAACACCATCCAAAACAACTGACTTTCCAAAGAACCCTTACATTTCCACTTTAGTATTGTTCAATATGTATGTATGTGCATATGCATACATGCATTGTGTATGCACACAAATGAAGCACAAGTGTGCCGTAGCACATATGTGAAAGTCAGAAGACAAGAGTGGGAGTCAGAGGACAAGCTGAGGAAGGGAGTTTCCTTCTCCCATGTGTGTCCCAGGAATTGAATCCGGTCATGAGGCCTGGTAGGAAGTGCCTTTACCCGATGAGTCATCTCCCTGACCTGAAAGAAAGTCTTCACTACTTATGAAGGACAACTTTTCCAGGCGTAGGGCAGAAAACCAGTCTATGGTAGAGTAAACAAACAAGAAAAGCTATTGTACATAATAAAAACTGTCTGCTTCAGATTGAGGGGGATGGTTCTCTCTCTCTACCCCTCCTTCCCTCCTTCCATCCATCCATCCATCCATCCATCCATCTATCTATGGGTCCATCCAGGGTGGGTCCTTACCTCACTTAATCCTCTCGGAAAATTCCCTCGCAGACTACCTAGGCCAGTGTCTCCTAGGTCCTCAGTAGCTGCCTACCCCTAAACCCCTCCCCCATCTTATTTTTTTCTGCCGAAGACTTATGCTAAAACACCATCCCAGGTTGCACAGCCATCCCTGAGCTTGTCAGTGTGACCAAAGGATGGAGTACAGTGATTGGCTAGGCCTGAGCAACACGCTTCTCCCACTTACTCCTGGGAAAGTTGGATGAATGTAAGACGTGACTAGTCAGTCTCCTCGGGAAACAACAGTCTTTCTGTCAGGAAATGAGGGAACTGACACTAGACAGGCATAAACAGCTGCCTGGATCCCCACCCTTGCATGTGAAGTCTTTGTGTTCGAGCCCTGGTGCATCACTGGACCTCTGTGAGCCTCAGTTTCCCTGTTTGTAGATGTTGGCCCCTGACCTTCTTGGCTCTGTCTCAAGCCTTGTAAGTCAGTGAACTGGGAATCAGTGCCCAATCTGTGGGTCGCAGAGCAGTCCCCACATAGCCGCTCAGACCTACCTCTCCCCTCTGTCTCCTCACAGAGCACCTGAAGAAGCCACTGGAGGACTACATGGCCCTTTTCCCCAGTGTAAGGATTCTCCGGACCAAGAAACGGGAAGGCCTGATAAGGACCCGAATGCTGGGGGCTTCCGCTGCCACCGGAGACGTCATCACATTCTTAGATTCACACTGTGAAGCCAACGTCAACTGGCTCCCCCCTCTGCTTGGTAAGGAGTGGGGTAACCTGGAGTGGATGGGTAGCCTTCCACTCCAAGGTGACACTAAGACCTGCTTGCCTGGCAGCACCCAACAGAGCTCCAGGCTCCAGATGAGGCTTAGAAGTTCAGGTCTGTCCCCTTGTTTCATAGAGAAGGAAAGTGTCAAGCTTCAGTGACCAGACAACTTCTCTCAAATTGCCTTAAGTCTGTTGGTGAGCAAACCAAAGCTTTCTACCATTTAGAGTCAACTTATGGGACCTGGGGACATAGCTCAGTTGGTAGAGCATTTGCCTAGCATGCAGAAGTCTCTGGGTTCTATCCCCGGTGTCGCACTGTATAAATCAGGAATGATGACACACCCCAGCACTTGGGAGATGGAGGCAGAGGGATCAGAAATTCAAAGTCGTCCTCAGCTGAGGCCACACTGGGACTCATGAGATGCTGTCTTAAACAAAAGAACCAAATTATGGTAGCTGCGAGGGAGGTGTCTTTATACTAAATGAAAATAGTTACTGCTCAGCACCAATCCTGTGAGCCAGACGGGTTGCAGGGAAGACCACCAGGCCTCACAAGGGTGCATTGAACTGGTCTCTTTTTTTGTTGCAAAAGAAACTGAAGTCGAGATGCTCAGTGGCTTGCTTGTCTCCTCGGGCCATTGGTGTCGAAGTCACCATATGTCAAGCATCAGTCTGTTATTTTCCACAGCTCCACACTGCTTCCAGGGTTCCCTTCCTCTCAAACATCCAGGAGGGAGGCAGAAACCTTCCACTGAAGCCTGCAGGTAGAGCGTGGGCGTGAGAGACTGGAGCGAAAGAAGACTAGGTCAGGACAGAGGAGATCCACCCAGAGGGAGGCAGTAAGATGTCTCCAGGAAGATAGCTAAGATGGATGTTCTGTCAGGACTGGGAGACAGGGCAGGGCAGGGCAGGGCCAGGGCAAGCTGTGAGGTTACCACCCTCAAGAGAAAAAAGTAAACTCCATCCCAGAGGTCAGGGGTCAGACTTGCATGACAATTGAACAACCAGCATGATTTCCCATGATGCCCCAGTCAGACTCTTCACCCCAGACATGCAGATTATAGAGCCTTGTGAGTTATATTTGCAGGCAGCTCCCAAGTGCTTCATGGTCCATCAACCGCGACAGTAAAGGCCACCATGCAGATGAGAACCGAAAGCCAGCTACACACAGTCCCACGGGATAACCCAGCTGGGTTTTCTTCCTGACCACATCACTAAGAACTTACTGGATTATGTGCTTCTAACAATCATGCCCAGGGATCTCACTGGGCTGAAAGGAAGACAAGAATTCCTGGTAAACTGTATTTAATTAAACCAAGCAGTGGCCTGCATCTACCTCTCATTACTAGAGGGGCGGGGGAGAGAGAGAGAGAGAAAGAGAGAGAGAGAGAGAGAGAGAGAGAGAGAGAGAGAGA